GTTTCAAGAGCTCCTTGGATAAACTCTTCAGAAATGTCAAAGAGATGGAGTATATGGCACCTTTTCACAGATGGTGTTCATCAGGGATTTTAGTTAATGGATAAAGTTTCAGTTTTCCGTGGTTGACTTTTGGTGCTAACAAAAGTATTCCAAAAGCCCCTGCTTTTCTAAAGGCTAGGGGATAGTAAGGAAATGAATCCCATAACACCACCAAACCTTTTATTCTTAATGAGGTAAGTAACCAGGGACATGGAGTATTTCACCAGGTCCATTTTACTAAAGAATGGAATATATCTTGAAGAAAACCAATTCAACTTTTCCAACAGCTCCAAAACTATACATTTAACCTACTCTCCCACTCCCAAGAACAGCAACCAAAAACAAATATACAATAAGAAGAGTTAAACTATCACATGAAGAGTTATATACTCAATTGGCTCATCATAGAAGCTAATTATGTACTTTTCCTTCACCTGTTCTAAAATACTCTATACCCATTCTGTTCATTCCTTCATATATCCATACATTTATTTGACACACATTTACTTACTACTTACGTACCAGACTCTGTGCAGATGGTGAGTACAAGGGTGATTCAGACATAGTGCTTCCCTCAAGAGAATTTCAACCTAGTGGTGGAGAAAGCCAAGAAAGCAGGTGATTATGTACCATTCACTGGGATAAGTGTCAAGATGGAAGGGGGCTTGCTTGGAGGTGGGTACGGGGTCCTGGGGAAGGCAGTGGAAGAGCACCTAATCCCTTCTGAGGCAGGCTTAGGGAAGGCGTTTCTGGAGGTGATGGTGTTGAAGCTAAAATGGGTATAACTTGGGTGAAGGGAGAGAGGATGAAGAGCATGACAGGAACAGAGAATAGCACATCCCAGGGATGGAGACACGGAGCATGAGAAGTGAGGTTGGGAGGTGAACAGCAAGCAGTTGCCCTGCAAGAGCTCTATAAGCTGTGGAGAAGCTGGGGCTCTTTTCCTGAGGGCAGTGGGGAGTCTTTGAGGAGCTTGAAGTCAGGAACTAACAGGGGTTGATGTCACTCCGGCTATAGATTGTGTTCAGTGGGAGGCAGGAGTGCAACGGGAGAGCTGTTAGAGGAGTCTTTCACCCTAGAGAAATAAGGTGGCGCCTGGAAGAAAGAGGAAGTGGAAAATGAAATCTGATTAGAGATGTCTCGGCAGTCATGACATAATATAGATAAAACAAACGTAACACCTGTCAGCCAAAGGCAAACCTGTCAGGTCAGCAGTTTGATAGACACTGAAAAGGAAATAAAAATGGGCTTCAGCACATTGCTAAATGAGTCTGTGAGTTCCCAAGTGTAGTGCTGTGGAAAGCTCTCCCTCTCTCTAACTCCATATTAGTTTTCCTGGGACTCCAGTTATGACTGCCCAGAAGAATAGCTGTTTAAGTCTCTGTGATGGGCACCTCGTGTATCTGTCAACTACAGGGATATGAACCATTGCGCACAGAGTCACCTGGTCAGCGTGTCTGGAGTTAGTTGAACAAATGCTATCCTTGTTACAAATTTCTGCAGTTTTTTTCCATCGATCTTCAGGGAGTGTTATTCATGGCTTCTTATTCTTCCAGACCATTCTTGGTTTGTTAGGAAACCAATATAATTGGGTAAGGATGAGAATAGTGATGTAGATTAAAAAAAAATAAGAGAGATCCATTTTCAGTTTGGTGATTAAGTGGGCTGGATTGGTCAAACTTTTTTTAGAGAAGGAAAAACTAGCAACCAGCCTGTAAGAAATCGGTCACAGTTTAGGGGATATGTTACAAGCAAGATAAATAAAAATGGTCTAGAGTATCAGGCCAAACTCTCATTATTCATCTCTGTTTCACACTCTTCTCTTCCAGTCCAGACTAATCAAAAGAAGCCTCTTCCGCTCACAATTGCTATGTGTACATTTCCCCCAGATCTGGTATTCACATGAACAACATGGTTTATTTATATTTCAGCACCAAATTGGAAAGATGACATCATTCATTTACAGTCTTCATCCCATGACATGCCTATTCTCCAACACCTCATTTCAGCAGACACATTTAGGACTGCATATAGCATCTTGTTTAGCTTGTACATTCTTTTATGGGATACAGTTCAAAGGTAGGGAACTTTAGGCTTGTTGCTGGTAAGAAAATAATCTCATAAAATCACAGGAGCTTCCCCAAAGGATAAGGACATTATGATGTTTACAATAGCAGAGTTATTATTTGTTCATTTAGGCTTCATCATTCAGTCCTGGTGAGCTCCTTCCTTCTTGACCATAGCAGGTCTTACAGCTCCCTTCAGGCTCTCTGAGTTCTATTAGAAGAAACAATTTCAGATTTATTAGTTCATGAGTTCAAAAGTACAGACTCCTGACAATACTGGAGTTTTGGGTGTGAACACTGAATTCAGAATCTTTTGTACAAGGGCAGGCTGAATGAGGGGACTCTCAGTACTTGGTTGGCAACAGCTTCAATGACCTGCTCTTTCTCACAAGCTATAACTTGTCCATTGGGTCTTCTGATGCTCTAAATAGACAGGAGAAGGATGAAAATGCTATCAGCTGCCAAATGTTGCCTGAGATTTTTTATTTAATTGTTAAGTGGATCTTTCTATTTTTATTGTTTTTATCCATATATATGCATTTTTTTCTGGGGACTTTCAAATATTGTACACATTTTGCAAAATGGAGTACGTTATGAGACATCCCCTGGCAGATAGAATTGGGATATGAAGTGTTTCCAAAACTTAGCAGAACCAAAGCATCTATAGGAAAGCTGTTTCTACCTGATAAGCTGTTTGCCTCTTCTGCTAGCAGCATGGCAAAGAGTAAAGGCTAGAGATTAAGAATTGGAAGACCCAGGAAATCTCCATGTTCTATGGAAAGAAGGAGACTCTGGGGGCCGAAATCTCCGCCTTCATTTTCTAGCTGCAAGGGAGGATAGTAATTATTCCTCCCAGGGGAAGTTTGAGGATAAGTTAGATTGTAGGTAAAACATACTACAAGAATATACTATGTTAGGTCCAGAATTATTATCAGAATATTATTTATGTTATATGATAAAATTCCAACCGGTTGGAGGCTCTGCCATGCCAGCCTTTGATTTCCAGCTCTCTTGAAGTGCTGATGGCTCACTGTCATCTTGGGCCACCAGTGGGATTGTTATGGCAACTCATGAGATGTCCTCAACTCTCGGTGACCTTCCCTGGCTAAAAACAAATGTGCCGTCACCTCTAAGATGGCAGCATCCCTCACAATTCTGGCCCTTCTTTCTCTCAGTTCCCTCACTGCAGCAGCATGCACAGTGTATTTACATCTACTGGGCCCTGTTAGATTCTGGGGAGAGACAGGTGAAAGAAGCGGCCTCAAGTCTACCACCCGTTGGACAGATAGATCTGAGGTTACAGAGAGACGATAAGCAGGAGGTGCACGTGTCCTGGCATTAGGGGTGGGATCAGGAAAAGTTTCCCAGAGAAAAAATCCTGAATTAGCCAGACACAGAAGGTAGAGGTGAGGGAAGGTGGTTGGGGAGCTACTGCAGGCGGAGGAAACAACATGTATAAGAAGGAGAGGTTTCTTACTGTAAACAGCAAAAATAATAACAGCATTTGATTTTTATGGTAAGCCTATTATGGGTCAGGTCCTGAACAGACACTTGAAGCCCATCGGATCCCTTGCTCCTCACAGCGACCCCAGGGAGGGAGGCACCATTACTCCCATTGTATAGTTCAGGAAATTGAAGCTTACAAATAGTTAACTCTCATAAGATCATGGAACCAGCAAAGAGATAGAGCAGGAATTGAATCCACACAGTCTTCTCTCCAAATGTGTATTCTCTGCATTTCCTGCTTTCTGGGCTGGATATTTTTATCTGCCTTTTTCCCTCGTCTTTAGGCATTTTTCTCGATTCTGTGACCCTGTTCAGTCAACTCATTGCTGGTCTGTTTCTTGCCTTGCATAATAAAACAATACAATTGTATGTCCTGGGAATTTAAACCATGACACCTAGCTGCCTCGTGTGACAAACATAGTGGGACATAAATGACAGTGGTCAGCTCTTCCACATCAACTCTGCTCCTTTTGCCCAATTTCCCCAAAGAGCACTATCAGTTAAATTGTCCACAGAGAGCCCTTTCCTTAGAAGCCACCAGAGTGACAAACCTTCTCCATCACTACTTTTGCATTTGGCAGCTTTTGAGTGGATTCCTCTGCTTGTCTTGCAAGACCATTACTTGTCTGTAGTTTTGTGTCTCCACCTGGCCCTGTCCCATCTTTTTTGTCCAGGGCTTCCTTCTCTTGCTTGCTCTAGAGTGTAGGATGTGATTGTTGGCAGTTTCGTGATTGCAAGCTTACTCTGGATCTGTGTGATCGCTTGATAATGTAAAACAGAGCACCTTTGGGGATATGTCCATTTTTTCCCCTTTTAAGTCACATGGTGGGGGGGAGTACACTTACATCTTATGTAGGTCCAAGAACATAGTAGCTTCAAGGATGTGACAAAGACTCTTTTACCAAATGGCAGGGTGCATTCTTTTTTTTTTTTTTTTAAAGATTTTATTTATTTATTTTAGAGACAGAGCACAAGAGCGGGGAGCGGGAGAGGGAGAAGCAGACTCCCCGCCGAGCAGGGAGCCCGATGCGGGGCTCGATCCCGGG